GGAATGCTGTAATTGGCTGCACTGCAATGTGCCCGTGAGCCACTGAGTGGCTAATGCTCCAAGTGCCCTGCACAAGGCTGTAAGGTATTTAGTTATCATGCATGTATGGTCAGAAGCTAGATCTCATTTGCCTGAGAGACAGGATCTGTGGTATTCTTGCCGTCACCTGGTGGCAATGCTGATTCATTGCCTCAAGTCTGACTTGTGGAGGGGGATCGGGGAAGTCCCAGCTACTGAACTGGCAGTGACAACAAAGGGTTCCTCTCGGTGCTGGCTTCCCTGGATTTAACCGGTCTCTTGGCTGCAGGCACTTCCACTCGCTGACCTGAGGAAAGCAACCCAGAGCCCCAGTCTCTAACTAGGGTCTTGTGCAAATGAAGCTGCTGGGCTTCTCCTTGTCCTGCGATGGTTGATATGTGGAATCAGGGATAAAGGAGGCTGCCAAGGCTGCATCCTGCTGCTAGTGCTGGAGAGCCCTGTGACCACTGCAGAGCTCACTTCCCAACGTGATGCCTAATGAGAACTATGTCATCTATTGATGTTGGGGCTGGCACATCAGATTGGACAGCCTGCATCCCGGGTCAAGCATAGTATTGCTCCAATATTTTGAGATGTCACCTACCCATAGACTCCGTGCTGTCTTTTAGAGGGGGTTGCTTGTACTCCTCCATCTCTAACCACTGTGATCCTGGCTTCTGAAGCAAAAGGCCAGGTTTTGGGATGGTTGTGCAGTCTAGGAGTCTGGCTGCTCTGAGCCCTGAGCTGTTGATTCAGCGCAATCTCTCCTTTCCTTCACTGTAGGTATCTCTTATTCATGAAACTAGCTGCACTGCAGCTGATGCAGCAGAAGGCAAACAAACCCGAGAGCTCCAGCGTGCTGGAAAATGGGGCTTCCCCAGAGAATGGCACTGAGGAGAGCCAGAAAGCTGAACGGGAGGATGGTAAAATAGAGGAGAGCGTGACTGGATTAGATAGGGTTAAAGAGTTGGCGGAGACCATTGCCTCTGACGATGGAACAGGTACTTGCTGCTCTGCACCAGGATTGGCAGGTTTTCCTTCATAGCTGCTACTAATCCAAGTGAAGGGCTTCCAAGGGGAGGGGTTGGCACAAATCTCCATGCCCTTGGTCACGCTAAAATGCCGTGTCTGTCTCCATCGCATGTTGACATGTATGTGGTAGTGTTCACATGCTAATAAATTAACCATCACAGTTCTCCAGGGACAGGAGTAGGTGAGCGCCTTGAAGAATACTAACATGAAGCAAAGCTGTCGGCGTAGGAGGCACTGACTTATGGCCCCACGCAGTCTGCCAGCTGCTCTGGTTCTCTGCATGGAAAAAGTGATTTTTAAAGCTGCACTGTCCTCTCCATGGCTGCTGTGTGGTTAGTCTGCGATTCTCAGAAGAGCTTGGGGGTGAGGCAGTCGGGTCCCACCGAAAGTCAATAGAAATCATGCAGCCCCTTTAAAAATCCCTTGAAACTCCCTGGGACTTTTTTTTTTTGCAGTGCCTCTTTCATTCTGCACTGTATGCTCTAACATTGACTTCAGCAGTCTCTGTGCTCCCAGAAAATGTCGTACTGCCAGGTGCTTCTATAGTTTGGCTCTTCAAGATGATGCAGGAACTTCAGTTATCAGCTACAAAACTTGCCTCCACATCCAGCTTTGGCTTCCTCTACAACCATGCACTGTTCTTGCCACCTTGACAAAATCTCTCTCTGTCTCCTTCCTTACCCAGTGGATCCCAAAAGCCGAGAGGTGATTCGGAATGCATGCAAGGCTGTTGGCTCCATTAGCGACACGTCATTTGACATTCGATTTAACCCGGATATCTTCTCGCCAGGTATGAGCTCAGAGTGACTGGTTGGATGCTGCTGTAGAGCATAGCTGTGCCGAGCCGCCAGCAGGCAGGTGTTTTTAGGAATTCAGTAGTCTGCTAGCAAATAGTCCTGTAGCCATCTGGCTGGGTGGGCGTGATGCATGATTCTCCAAGCTGCTCCAAAAGATGTAATTGATTGTAGTGCCTGAACCACTGAGGACAGGCAGCCAGGAGTCTCCCACCAGTTGTTCACAAAACACTTCCTGGTGGTCTGCAGAGTGCTGGCAAGGCACTTGATGCTGGCTCTCCAGCACCGCAGCTGCTAGACCACATGAAAAGAAGTGGAAAACCACATGGAGCCGCCATACCTTCATGTTTTCTGTGTAAACAGTTCCCAGGGCTGACGCGTAGCTGGGGGTGGGGTTAGGCCTGGTGTACAAGGAGTGAAAGCTGGCTGTGATCTGCTTGGAGCACTTCTGTTCCTTTCCAAATGAGAGCCTTGATGCTGCATGTGTTGCACAACCCTGGAAATGCCTTCAGAGGGAAGCAAGCGTGCTGTTCCCACTGACTCGAAGGACCTGGGTTCAACCTTGTCAGTTGATATAGGAAGAATAGGAACAGTCCTCAGTTGTGATTATGGGGGCACCTGCTGAAAGCTCTGGGGGAGACGGCACTTTGACTTTTGCTGATATATGGCAGCTTTAAAGGCAGTTTATTTTAACCTGGATCCATTGGCAGAAAGGGTTTTGATTGCTCTCGGGGCCTGCAGAGCAGTCAGTCCATCTGATGAATACCCTGGCTTGCTGACTAGGTATTCTACTGCTGTGAGGATGCACAGCACTTGCAAATCTTGCCTGTTATGCAGAGAAAGAATAGGGCCCAGCCTTTAAGGTTTGCAATGCAGAAGAATGGGTACAGGACAGAACAGCACAGCTTGTAGCAAAGGCAGGCTGCCGAGTGCTCTGCAAGATAAGTAGATCTGAAGGGGCATCCTCAAAGTGGGAAATGGCTCAGTCGCTTGGGTTTCTTTCTGCTTGCTCATATTGCATATATTCTCTGAATTAGTTGCGCCCTGTGCCAGGTCCTTCTCTTACTCAGATCTTCAATTTCCCTCCTAGGAGTTCGTTTCCCTGAATCCAGCAAAGAGGAAGTGCAGGATCAGAAACAGTTATTAAAGGATGCTGCTGCTCTCGTACTCTCATGCCAAATTCCAGGCTTGGTAAGGAACAGGGGTGGGGAGAACTAATACCACCCTCCGAGAAAGGCAGTCTTCACTTCTGATCTTTATTGAAAAGCAGTTGTCAACACAGCTGTGCAGTAATTTCTTGTCTCAGACAATGGCTGGATTCTCGTGCTGGCCAGCGGGAAGTTCTGCTGATGGCCATGAAGTACAATGAACAATGCAAGCATTGGTGCAAAAGCATTTGGGGTTTTCTTTCGCATCCTCTTGTTTAAAGGCATATTCCCACCCACCAAACAATGCATTTTACCACTAGTAATTTCAGAAATGCCATCAAGAGTTGGAGCCTATCAAAGCTATAGGGCCAGGAGCCACGCAAATCACCCTGTCTGACCCCTGCACATCTTGCTGTTACCTATTCTAGCTCTGAATCTGCTAATGAGCTGATTTCCTCAGAGCCCACAGTAACAGAAATTGCCTTGCACATGGCAGCTGCATGCAAGTTCTTCCCCTCCCATAGCTGGGCGGCACCTGTGCGGCCCACAAAGGAGAGCTGCTGCCTTCACCACCCCCTGACCCTGCTCCTGGGAGCCAGTGGCGTGGGGTGGTGGGTGGCAGTGCTCTGTCCCTGCCCACCCACGCATACCCCCTAGCCCCTTTCCAAGTACCCCAGGGGTATGTGTGCCCCCTGTTGACAACCTGTGCCATAGAGCATTGCAGTTTTAAATTAGAACATGGCAAGTCCCACTCCAGGTGTGGCCTTTTCAACAGGCACTATGCATTCACATGCAGTCTTGTCATTGCTCAAAGATCCCACTTGGACTCTGAATTAGCAGTCAGAGCAAGAAAGAAGGGAATGATTAGCTCCTGCATAGTAGGAAAGCTGGATTAATTGTCTCTAGGCTCGTGTTAAGGGAATGGATTGCGGTAATTGTAATTTTGTCAAGAGTGTTTTTAAGTGGAGGCATTAGTCTCATGGGTGGAGCCGCTGAGGACCACTGCTTTACCTGAAGTGTGACCCACCACCTCACGAAGTAACCCCCTGAGGTGATAGGGCCGGACATTCAAAAGAGATCCTCTCAACCCTGAATAACCTCTTATGGCTACTAACTCTCTTCCCCACCTCCCCCTGTCCTTAACCTGAAAAAGATGCTTTCAACAAGTGTTTTTCTTCTGTGTGCAACAAACCACGTAGAACTAAGCCAGGCTGTGCTCTGCAGGTCAAAGACTGCCTTGACCACACTGTGCTCCCGATGGACGGCGCCACGTTAGCGGAAGCGATGCACCAGAGGGGCATCAACATGCGCTACCTAGGCAAAGTCATCGACTTCATCACCAAGACCCCTGCCCATGCACAGCTGGATCACATCTTTGTAAGCTCTGGGCTTTGTTTCAGGCTGTCACTTCCACTGCCGCTGGGATAATTTGTCCTGGCCAAAATCCAACTCGGCTAATTGCATTCCGCACGTTAAAAATAATAATAATAAACAGCGAGGCTTCAGACAGTAACCCGTGCTTAGCAGAGGAGCTGGTTTGCTCTGCATGCTTAGACATGCGAGCAGGGAAGATGAATCTGTGAAGGGCTCTGGGAGTCTAAGGGCATGAAAGCCACTGCCTGCTGGGCCAGAGACTGCACGTTGCAGGCCACACAGTGCTTGCAAGGTCCAAACGGACTGCCTGTTACGATGGGCTGGGGTCCGGTTCCACCGCCCGGTCCATTCTTAACAGTAAGAATGTCGGTCCTGTTGGTTGGGGATGTCTGGTATTTTACTGTAGTCCCAAGAGGCACCAGATGCCGAGCAAAGTCCCATCAGATAAAGCAACACCTCCACACGTGCATCTTCCCAACCTTGCAGTCCAAATACCTTGTTAGAGTAAGGCTCACTGTGTGAAGAGGGGCTTGCAGAACCATATTTCCTCTGCGTAGGTGCATCGATAGCAGCACATCTAAAAGGAAAAGGTTTGTTTCTTTGTCTCCATTGACTGACTTTCTGCTCTTTGGATAGAAAATTGGACTCAGCGAATTGATCACTCGATCAGCCAAACACATCTTCAAGACGTACCTTCAGGTATGAGTGAGTGGCAGTCTAACCTCTTGCCTTGCATGTTCTCTCTAATGATTTTTCAGAAGTGGGTAGCTGTTCAAATCTGTTTCCTCATTAGATAGATCATGGATGTTGCCTAGCAACTGGAAGTACAGTCTCATTAGGACTAAAATAGGTGCAAACGCATATACAAGGGAAAACAAGTTCCCACTTGAAGGCATTTCCCCCAGAGGATAATCATTCATGCTTTTCTTCCCCCAAATTTCACTTGTTACATTAAAGGCTTTTGAGAGCGAAATCACAGTTTGCCTTCCTTGTTAAAACACTTAGTCCTTTTAAGCAAACATCGGTGCATTTGCCCACCTACAAAGCTTGTTTACTACATGAACTCAAGGACATGTAGCAATGCATTTGGCTTTTTTCCAGAAACAAAAAAACCCGTTTTGTGAGTGTTCAATATGACAGTCTATCCCAAGTAACTGTACACAATGTGGGCAGGAGGCGAGTATGAGAGAAATGAATGATTTTTACATGCAGAACTTCAGCTCTGATTTGTTCTGAGAAATGCCCTCCTACAAACTTCCCTCTGCCTCAGTCAGGCACCATGATGGTATTCACAGGACAGATTGGTCTGGATTTCTAGTAGTATCAAGGTTAGATCGATGGATTTGTAATATGGAAAGGTTCCCCCTCGACTAACTTCAGTGTCTTGCTGCAGGGTGTAGAGCTGTCGGGCTTATCGGCAGCCATCAGCCACTTCCTCAATTGCTTCCTAAGCTCCTTCCCAAATCCAATTGCCCATCTTCCAGCTGATGAGCTAGTCTCCAAGAAGAAGAACAAGAAAAGGAAAAACAGGAACCTTGGCAATGCTGATAACACTGCATGGGCTAGCATGACCCCTCAGGAGCTTTGGAAGAACATTTGTTCCGAGGCAAAAAGCTACTTTGATTTTAACCTCAAATGGTAAGCACAGATTTACCCACAGTTCCCTCACTTTCTGCCTGATTTCTCCCCAGATGTTGGCAACTTCATTTTGAATACTTGATTCCAATTTTGTAAGAGATTTTTAAAGGCTTAAATAACATATGAGGAAAAAGCCAAGAGATGGAGACGGGGGCAAGGACGGGAGGATTTCAGGTGGTATCTGAAACCAAATAGACTCCACGATGCAAAGAGAGCCAAAAAGGCTAAGACTGCTCCTGAGGGGAGAGCTCCCATAGCAGAAGGGACAAGAAACCACCACCATCTAAGCAAGTAGGGACAGAGGGTGCTGTACTAGACACCAGGATCAGGTGTTAAACTGGAACTCACTCCAGTTTAACTCTCAGCTATGTGCTGGACCAGACAGTGCAGTCAGTAGGGCAGTGGGAGGATGAAGGTTGGATGGGAAGAGTAGAACATTTAGCTAAAACATCCACAGGAAAGAAGAAAATGTTTTTAAGACCACTGCCAGACCTAGATCATGATTGACTTCATTGCTACCCAGCTGAGAGTAGAGACACTTCAGTTTTTTTTTTTACCAAAAACAGACACACCCCAATTCTGCCTTTTCCCAGTGCGGACACTTAACACAGAGGAAAGGCAGAGAGGCACGTGTGACCCATGAGAACTAGAATAGACACACCGCACTGTGAGGTTCCAGTAAGTAATCCTTGCGTTTTGCTGACCTTGTTGCGTTAAAATGCAATGGTGCACGGTGTATTGCAGCTGCTGATTTTTTTTCAGGACTTCAGATACATCTTAGGTGGCTACTGTTGAAAGCAGACTTACCCTGAACATGTGGCTTTTGTGTCCTTTTGCAGCGAAAGCGTTGATCAAGCTGCAGAGGTGTATAACCTACAGAAAATTACCCTTCTTCGAGAGATCTCCCTCAAAACTGGAATCCAGGTGAGATCCAAGTCCTCCCTCCTTCCCTTGTTGCTTCTTCCCATGGGAGATGTCCTAGGTTGAGGCATGTGTGGATTCATACTACAGGGTCTTTTGCAGATTGATTCCCCACTGTGCGTGCCTTCGAGGGATTTATAGCAACAACTAGCCCTACAAAGGGATTTTAATCGGTTCCATTGCAGGATAAATGTGCCCTGTGTCCTTCAGGGAAATTGGTCTCTTCGAATGCACTCCCTTTGTCTGACTGACCAAATTGTGCCACTGCTCACAATACAAAGCAAAGTCACTGATTTGGCATCGGTTATGTCAGAGCTGTTACTTCTTGCTTCCTTCAGATCCTGCTGAAAGAATACAACTTTGACAACCGGCACAAACCCACCTTCACGGAGGAGGATATTCTCAACATCTTCCCTGTAGTGAAGCACGTAAACCCCAAAGCCTCTGACGCTTTCCACTTCTTCCAAAGTGGACAAGCAAAAGTACAGCAAGGTATGGACAATATATGCTGCCACACCTCTTTTCTTTAGGCTAGTGTTTGGTGGCACTGGCCATACTTAACCGTGTACCAAGCCCTGTGCAGCATGGCAAGCTGCCCCTTAATCCCATTCTGGAGAAGAGCAGTTTCCAAGTCTATGGAAAATACAGCTTTACCACTGAAGGGCCTGGTGTGGGTCTGAGAACTGAGATCAAGGAGTTCTTAAATTTTTATCACAAGGCTAAGGAAAAGGCAGAATCAGGCTGTCCTAACAAGTTGGCGACCTGTCACTGAATAGCTATTTGTCCCACTACTTTTTCCCTGAATCGCAGAGACTTGTCTTTGTTCTTCCTGTATATCTCTTTATGGATAGTGCTGGTTCCGTCTCTGACGATAGAAGTAGAGCTTTTGCACTACTTAGGATTGGTAGCCCAAGAATTTGGCAGAAAAATTCACCCTTGTTTAATTTTTAGCCTTCTGTCTAGGCATGCAGCTGGACATGAAGGAAAGGGTGCATCCTTCATGCAGACATGAAGGCAAGTAAACAGTTACTCAACATGCTTCCTATTTTGTGTTCCAGGTTTCTTGAAGGAGGGCTGTGAGCTCATCAATGAAGCCTTAAACTTGTTTAACAATGTGTATGGTGCTATGCATGTAGAAATCTGTGCCTGCCTCAGGCTGTTAGCACGCCTCAACTATATCATGGGAGACTATTCAGAGGTATGCAATCCTTGCTGCAGCTTTGCAGACAATTCGTGTTCACCATTTCACACTCCTCTCTGGCCATTTCCCCTTTCTGTTTCCCTGCTCTGGGTGGGGGTATAAATTCTGCTTCCAGGCTGCAAAGTAATGCAAATTAGCTTGAACTGGGAAAAGAAGTAGCTAAACACTAATCTTCTGAAGAAGACAGATTGCTCCCTTGTTTGTTTTCCCCCTGGTTCCACCTCAGTTAGCCAAGGGCTTTCCTTCTCTGCAGCTGGAACAGAGAATCCCACTTCCTTTGCCTCCAAACAGAAGTTTTGAAGTCTGGGTCCTGAGACAGTTCTCATCAAGCCTCCTGGCATCCACAAGGCATCTCTTGCAAATTTTATAGCTCAACATTTGCATCACTGTCTTGATGGTTCTTTTCTAGGCCTTAAGTAATCAACAGAAAGCGGTACTGATGAGCGAGAGGGTCCTGGGCATTGAGCATCCCAACACGATCCAAGAATATGTAAGTATGAGGATTTAAAAACACAGTGTATATACCACTTGCCCCTGGTGGTGGCATGACCTATTCATGCCTGCATCCTCGAAGTAGCTGCTGTTCTCCTAGTTCCTGCAGAAATCTCCCCAGAATCCCATTCTTCCTACGTAGCACACTTGGAAGCTCTCTTGTCATTTCTAAGCATCATGAAACCTAGAGAGACATGTGTAGAACAGGCACCCCTTACCTTAGGAGTTAATGATGAAGCTCTGAAAGGCAGGCATGACAATGAATGCTTAGTGACAGCAATGAGAGCGAGGGATTGTAATAATGTCCTTCTCTGTTAGCCCCAGCTGCCAACACTACTGAGTCCTTTCTGGATGTGCATATGCAAATCATGCACTCCTTCCAATACGAATCTGTTCTTGCAGTTGCTGTCATTTGAAGGGTCTCAGCCTTATGATTTTGTAAGCCAATAGTTTAACTGAGGATTGACACAAACATCCTATCCTATCTTTTCCAATCTGGAGTCTTGTTGGGTGCAGTTTTTTGCTCTCAGTTGCCCAATGCCTTTTTATACATCACATTCATCCTACTTATTCTCCACCCCTTTCTACCCCCTACTGATTTTTTTTTTTTTTTCATTTTTTTTTGCAAGATTTCATGTAATAGCTGGATACTGTACATGCTGGTCAGTTTTGAAATCTCCCTTGAAATTACTAGGAGACCATTAATGCAACTCGCTCTTAATGGTATATGTTGTGTGGATGCATTTCTGCAGTAACAAGTCAATCTGTAGTTTTTTTGTAGCAGTTAAAGTCTGTCGTGTTGATGGAAGACATGTAGGAGAGGCACTGCCTCTCCTACATGCCTCCTACATATTTCCCTCAATAGGAAAGGAGCTGTGAGCTTTTGTCTACTTCATGATGGGGTTTGACACCTGGCACTCAAATGTTTCTTACCTTGTAGATGCACCTTGCTTTGTATTGCTTTGCAAACAGCCAGCTCTCAACAGCATTAAATTTACTGTACCGTGCACGCTACCTCATGCTGTTGGTATTTGGGGAGGATCACCCAGAAATGGCACTCTTGGACGTAAGTAATCCTTCAGAATAAACCCTTTCAAGCCTTGTGGTTGGCTCTGAAGCTTCTTCACCTTTTTAACTCCCTATGAACAGTCATTGCCTCTGCCTCCCTTCCCCTGTGCTTTGTGCACACCCTTTTTCCTCTTAGGTGAGGAGAAGGAGGCTTGCGTAGGAAGTGGTTCTCCGGGGGAAGTGGAGGGAAGGCTGGCCTCTGGTTAATACACTCACTGAGGGGAGGCTTGGGGCATCCAGTTCATCCCAACTGTGGACCTTGGGAAAGCATGTAAGCTGCCCACTCCTCAACTACCCATTCCATATCTAAAATGGAGATAACCCCCCCCCCCCCCCCCCTTCATCTTGTTTGCCTTGCTTAGACTGAGCTCGTAATGGCAAGGATGTAGGGGTTTTGGCATGTGCAGTCTCTAGCACAATGGGGTCTTGATGTCTTTTTGGGACTTCTGGGTGTTCCTGCCAACATAAATAGCTACAGGAAATGCAGATTCACAAGTTGATCTCTAACTTGAGCCTTAAGGTTTGGTCAGGGCTCGCTTTTTTCCTGAGGTGCCTCCGGCTGTCTTCTAACATCTGCCTGGTGGTTCTCCTCAGAACAACATAGGCTTGGTGCTCCATGGCGTTATGGAGTACGACCTGTCCCTCCGATTCCTGGAGAACGCTCTGGCAATCAACTCCAAGTATCACGGCTCCAAGTCTCTGAAGGTTGCGCTGAGGTGAGGCAGAGTTCGGAGCGCCTTTGTCTGGGAGGGGAAGAAAGGGGTTAATACAATGGGAACTGTGGACTGTAAAAAATCTACTTGGCAAATGAATGTGGGAGGCCCTGCTTGGAATTACTGCTGCCACCACATTGCAACCCATCGGCTCTACTTCAGGGCAGCAAGAAATCTCAGCTCGTACCCCAGAGTCTGCCGTTGTTTCCCAACAGGCAATGGATACAAGTTCTGCAGAGAACTTCTTTCCACCCTCCCCACCCTGGCATTGAGATGCGGGGAGAGATCCAGGTCCTGGAATAGACTAGGAGATGAGACCAATAGAAAGGTCCTCCTCCTCCCCCTAACACATACCGTTCCAAAACCATTGCAGCTGCTGAGTTCAGGCCAAGTCAACTCTTTCTTCATGGGAAAAACTGGGTGACTTGGGTCAGCAGCTCATTGTCACTGCCACTGCCTCTTGCCAGCTGTCCCTGCATTGGAGGAGTTGGACTCGGAGCTCCAACTCTGAGCTGGCCTAATTAAGATCCTCCCATTTCACTAAGAAACAAAAACGCTTTGAGAATGGGCTCCTTCCTCTTGGTCCGATCACCTCGTAGGGAGGGGATCACGGCCAATTGGGCAACCTCCTGGCTTTCAGCAATGTGTGGATGTGCTGTACTGTACATGTAAAACAAACAGCTGGCATTATGAGCACTTCCCTAGACACAGCAGGAAGTGGCCCAAAAATCTCACATTTGACCCGAGGTGGTGCTTTGGCCAAGGTGTCAAGAGTTTTAATGTCCTTACTCCCAGGGTGCAAAAAAAATCTGCAAAGGTAACCCAAGCTAGAAGAAAACTACTACTGTGCTGCCCAGCGCATGGAGTATCTGCCCTCCTTTGACCCGCAACAATTAGTTGATTGCAGGTGGCAAGGGGGTGTTGCTTTTGTGATAGCAGTGTCCTGGTGCACCGAGTTACCACCTCGTGGCACACGAGAAGTGGGTTTTCTTCCTCCTTTGACCATGAGTTGACAAAGCCGCCTGGGCCACTTGTCTTTCCCTTGCAGCCATCACTTGGTAGCCCGAGTGTACGAGAGCAAGGCAGAATTCCGGTCGGCTCTCCAGCACGAGAAAGAAGGCTACACGATCTACAAAAACCAGGTCAGGCATATAAGCTGCTTCACTTGTACTGTGAGATTGAGGTCTTGTAACCCAAGCGCGCTGCTTTCCTGAACAGTTGTGGGGGGGCTCTTCCTAGACTCGGAGGACATGAAGGTCCTGCCCAGTGGCCCGGGGGAAATGAGCTTTGCCACAGGTCTCCCATGCAGCTTAGTCACAGCAGTTCTGTCCATGCAGCAGAATGGGATGGCAGTGGTGGGCTTTGGGGCACGTTTCTGCTTTTTTTTGCCCTTTTGAAACTGGAAACCCAAACTGGGCATAAACCAGACAGAGCCTGAGAGAGCTGCCTCTCCTGCGAGCAGCCCTCACTGGTGCACAGCAAACCTGACATGTCTGGGCAGAACTCTGCAAGGTGAAGAAACCCATTTGATTTAATTCCTTCTCACTGACGAAAAGCATGGCCTGTTTGAGGCAGAGGTCAGTCACCTCCCCTTCCAGATGTCACCTTGGTGCCAGCACAGTTGTGGTAAGAACCTGCCCACAAGCAATGTCACATGTGACACCAGGTCATCCATGAGTGCTGCCGTGAAATGAAGCCCAATTTTAGTGGGTTTCGGCAGGCAGTCTCATGCAACTTCCAGCAACCATTTTGGTGCTAGGATTCAGGCCGAGTTTGGGTACACTTTTGCCCTGCCTCTGTGATGCAACGTATCTTTGTTTCTGACTTAGCTCGGAGAACATCACGAAAAGACCAAAGAAAGCTCCGAGTACTTGAAATACCTGACGCAGCAAGCCGTGGCTCTTCAACGCACAATGAATGAGATCTACAAGAATGGATCCAACGCTAACATTATGCCACTTAAGGTAACTTGACATGCATTGGAGTGGTCGGGGCATCTTACATTACGGTTGCATGAACAGTAGCAAAGAGTTTGCCATGGTGGCTGCGCTTGGTTTCTCCTTGCGTGGGAAATATTACCGGCTCTAGCAGCACTCCCCAGATCGCATAAAGAACATCTCTTTGGCAGGTAGGATCATAACGGTGAGTCCTGGCTCTGCATCTTCCAGCGTGGTGGTGGCTTTTGCCCCCTTTCCCAAAGGGTCAGATCCAGAACTCTTCCAGTTTAAATAACCTGAACAAGAGCATGTAAGGAACTTGAGGTTAAATGGTGCTTAGTTCAGAGAATGACAGATCCTTAGACAGACCAAGGCTAATCCTTTTTTTTTTTTTTTTTTTTTTTTTTTTTTTTTTTTTTAAATACCTTCCCTCTTAAGCTTGTGGGAGAGTCCACGACTGCTATTTCAGTGACTGGGCAGAGGTCAGAAACCTGATGTACTCGCACTTAGTCTATTTACCTATTCAGTTTTTGAGACTGAACCAACTATTCGTTCCATCCGCCTCCGGCACTGCCCTCTAAGTCATTCTTCTGTGCCGTCTTCATCACAAAGCCTAGATAAGCCCCCAAATGTATGTGCAAGTGTTAAATGTCTTTGTAACCCCACAGTGAGGTAGGGGAGAGCATAATCTCTGTGTTACAAATTAACCAAAGCACAAGAGGGGAGGTTTGCCCCTAGTGATGCACAAGATGTGAGCCCAAATCAGGAACTGCACTTGAGCGCCTGCCGCAGTGCATCAGCTGAACCACCAGCCCATCCCTCAGCTGATGGACCTGGATAAAACAGAGGGGGCTGAACTGAATCCTGCACGGACTTGAATCCTGTTGGCTTCAGCACAAAGGCTGGTTAAGGCAGATGTAGGTCTCTGGTTGTGGGTGTCTAGTGAGATTTCATCTCTCAAGAAGTTAGGAAGTGGTGTATTGCACATCTCTCAGGCTGCAGGCATACCTGAGGTGTGAGTAAACACTGCAACTCTCCAAGGCTGGTTAAAAATGGCTAACTCTTTTGTTTTTCTTCCCCTTCTTTACCCCTAGTTCACAGCTCCTAGTATGGCCAGTGTTCTGGAGCAGCTCAACATTATCAACGGGATTCTCTTCATTCCACTAAGGTAGCGTGATGTATACGTATGATGCACTTTTTATCTGGTCTTGTTGCAATAGCCAGACCCTTGCTGCATGGCTGGCTATTTAGATAAAGTGCAGCTGCCTCTGCAAGTCCCAGTTCCCAATGGATTATTAATCTGATGGGTCCATTTGTATTGAGCTCACCCTGTCAGACTGCACGTGTTGGCCTCTCTTGGCAGACCTAGACAAATCGCAGGAAATAGTGGCCTGGCTGGTGATCGCGAGTGACTTTCTGATGGGGGGGCGATCAGCGCCAAATTGGCACTAAGATTCCTCATTTTGGAAAGAATTGCTGCCCAGATTGGTGCTGTGGCCTTGGTCTTGCTGAACTCTCACAAACAGATGCTGCAGCTTCAAAACCCCTGCCTCTGCCTGCCAGCTGTGACGGGGATGGGAGGTGGGCTCAGAGGAGCAGTCGTGAGCTAAGCTCTCGTCTTGGCTGGAGGCAGGTTGCAGTGGCATCAGGTTCCTTCAGCTCTCTGTAGCTCTTGCTGGGATGCACTTGATGTTGAGACTGCTAGGAGTCTTTGCTCAGCCTACGGGAAAGCAGGCGTGGCTGCAGGAGCAGTGGTATCCACCTGGGATAGGAAACTGTTCTGTATAATAATCCCATCAATACTATGTTAGGGCTGACTTTATAGCTCTGCAAGCAAACAAGGCTCTGGTACCTGCTGCTTCCTTGTGTAAACTGGTTGCTTGTAAGGCAGCACCACAGATTCCTGCCATGCACTTTATATATAAAGGCTAGAACCAAGTGGCAGTTTTGAAGCAAGGTCCCTGATCCAGGAACTGAATCAAGGTTTGTCCTTCTCTCCTGTGACTCAAGATTGTACTAATAGACCAGGTGAAATGAGTCCCATCCTGTCTTAATTAGTAGCTTGGATACATGCAAGGAAGAGATTGGGCAGCGGCCTTCTGTGAAAATCCATGTGGAAGGTCACAGGAAGTTACTAGCTAGCCGAGAGGCAAGACGTAGGGATCATTACAGGTTTCAGCTGCTGCCTTTGTGGCTGGGCAGGGGGTGAGCGTAAACTGAAATAAATAATGGAGCCCTACCCAAAAATAGCATGCGCTAGAGCTACTCCAGGTCAGCCCTTACAAATTCTCTTGGGCAAGCAGCGGTTGCTTCCTTGGTCCAAGCACCAGGACAGAAAGGGCTGCTGGTAAATCACAAACGGTGCAAGTCCCTTATGTGCCTCCTGCTTCCAGATGGATACACTGATGCCCTTCGCTGCGGCAACTGGACTGAGGCATACTCCGTACTGGGGTGGGAAGCTGTATAATGCACTTAATTTTTCAGTCCATCAGCCAGTGTCCTCTGGCTTGTTAGTGGGGAGCTTTGCTTTGTAGTAGACTGGAAGGCTGCTCATATGAATAGCTTAGATTGGACAGAACAGGCATGTGCTGCCCATGCAGGTGAAACTTAGAGGTGGCAGGATGCTGCTAAAGTACAGAGTGGACCAACCTGAATCTCTCTGGCCAAAATTAGTGTGCTGAGCTCTCACCACCCTCATGCAGCGGTACGCGGTTGTAACCTGCATGCACAACCCTGCTTAGCTGGAGAGGAGACTCTGGTATTCAAGGACTTAAGTATGGGTGGAAACATTGCTTTTGCCTAATTTTACAAGGTGTTTGTCAGATACCTGACAGTCTTGGCTTCCCCTCCCTTCCCCAGCCAAAAAGACTTGGAGAACCTGAAAGCCGAGGTGCAGCGGCGCCAGCAGCTCCAGGAGGCCATCAGGAGCAGCGAACAGCTGGAGCCAGAGGACGGCATCTCTGAAGAGAGAGAGACTGAGACCAGCACACCTTCTGCCGAGGTCCCCCCAGCACAGGACTCTGCTTAAATAGTGTACCTCGCTTTTAAAAGAAACAAACAAGGTTTAAACCATCCTTTTCTGAATCTGACCCAGGGTCTTGGACTCCCCTGAGGCAGCTTCTCCCTTTTTTTTTTTTTTTTTTTTGACAATGTTATTGCACTGGTACAACTAATACACAATGCAAAGAACTTAAGTTGAGAAATGTAATCTGTCTGACTGAGCTTGTATCTGCCACCGCAGGGGGGAAGGTGGCCAGGATGCAGCAGCAGCATCTGAGAACATCGCTAGGTGAGCACAGCCAGAGGCTGTCCTGTCTGTGCGCGCGCGCGTGTGTGTGTGTGTGTATGTGCGTGTGTATCATCGGTCATTTCTACTTGTACATACGAATTCCAAATGAACTGTCTGGAGGTAGAACATTTCTCAGGTCATTTTTATGTTGACTAAGGATATTGCTTTGCAAAAAAGAAAAAGAAAAAAAAAAAAAAAGAGAAAAGGAAGTCTCCACCATCATCCCAGTACTCAGTTCTCTCTCGAATCTGGATTCCAAGCCAAAAACCGATTCTCCTTCTTTGGGTTTGTTTTTCTTTAGGTTGGTTTTTTTTTTTTTTTTCCCCAGTCACTACCGTAAGCCACACTATGGAAAAATAAGCAGCCATATTTGTACCTATTGAGATGATTTAAACCTGTAAAGTGCAGGGGGAATGTACAGCTTTTTTCTACATTTTAGGATATAGCCATGGGGGTTCCTTTTTAACTTTTTTTTTTTTTGGCAATTTAGTGGGGTTTTGTATCCATTCACCTTCTGATTTCATGTTGCGTGGATCCTCAAAGATCCACCTATGCACTCTGCCTGAGTGCCACATGAACTCACATCCAAAGAGCAAGGGTTTAGAACAAAAAGCACACCTCGAATTCAGTTGTGATGGAAAACCCCAGTGCCTACAATCGATCAGTCTTGGCACTTGAGTGAACTGTATAGAAGAGGTTCACGTCATGGGAGAACCTTCACCTGCTGGAATCTCTTTCTGGGAGGGCAGGAATGGGGATTTGCTCTCACTTTAGATGTTGACTTAATTAAAAAGAGTAGAATGAGCAATGGTGTCTCAAGCTAATCAACTCTAATTTTAAGGTGATCTGCAAACTTCAAGCTAAACAGGTTTGAATCATGAGTCTTCACACAGCCTAAAATTACTAAGCATTTTTCTTTGTGGGGAAATAATATTAAAATTCCCAAAGCACTGAGAGCTATGGCTAATAAATCTTGTTTAATTCTCTTTTGGGTCTTGCACACCGGGTTTGAGACTTGTTCCTAGGGGAGCTTCCATTGCTGGCAATGGATGTTATGAAACAGCAGATGCCACTGAATGTTGTTTTTTTGTTTGGGGGGGTTTTTCCTCCCTGTCTCCCCTTACTTTTAAGTAGAGTGTGCTCCCTGCTGGCACAGTCACAACACACACAGGTGGTTGTAGTTGCTGCAGACCATGCCGACAGAGTTGAATGTCCTTTATCCAAGCAGGTGAAGACATGCGGCAAGATAGGATTGCTAGTCCAAAACCATATCATGCTGACACAGGAGTCCAGTCTCTCCTCTCTTTGTCTGTCACCCAGTAGTACTTTGCTAATTTTAATTGCTTTTGTTGACCTTCTGGAAAAGAAAGTGCTGTCACTGTGCTCTGTACCTGTTTGGTTTCTGTACTGCATTACCAGGTCTTTGTAACTTTTGGGGGAGGGTGGAGAGCTGCCTCTGTCTACCTTGTTGTAGAAGGTACAAAGCAGGAGGTGTTCATAGTAAAAGAACTTGCTCCCACCACAAGCCTATTTGGACTTCCTGGAAAGCATTCAATAAATGACTATAGTGCATCTTTCACCCAAGGGTTTTTTTGATAATGTCTTCCAGTTCTAGTCCGTTAAGCACCTTTTAAATAAAAGCACATGCAGAGTAGCTTGAAGAACTCCCATTTCTTCAGCCAGGTTGACTCTAAATAGATGCTTAGGGTCTTGTCTATCAGCTTATGCCACTAACAGCCTGATTTGCCTTTCTTTTCACTTGGTAGTCAGGTAGATGGACAGTTGCAGAGGCCTCAGGAGGCTCTCCTGAGAACTGGTATGGATTTAGCATAAGGTAGTTAAACACACCTACCATTATTGGGACTTAGACCAACCCAAGGAGTCCACCTTAAAGGAAAGGCCTCTTTCCAGTGGGTTTAATGTCCCCTTAACTGCTTTAATAAACTTCAGGGGTGTACGTGGTAGCCATGTTGTTCCGAGACAAAAAGACATACAAAAAACTAGAACTCTTGGTTCCAAAATGATACCTTTTATTAGACCAACAGTTGGTCTAATACAAACTATCATTTTGGAACCAAGGGTTCTAGTTTTTTGTATGTCTTAATAAACTTCAGCACGCACTTGGTGATTCTGAACCAGCTCCCTTTCCTAGCTTCAGAGAGATTGTTAAACTTCAACCTGTTGCAAAGCCAGCAGGTGGAGTACACTAGTAGAGCATGAGCTGTCAATGGCCTGTGTGTTAATAGAGCTTTCCTTCACCCTGGATACCTACTTAGCTTTCAGGCAGTTGAGCAAGGAGTTTTGAGGATTGCTTCCAACCCCGAGGCAAAAAAAGCTTCATGGATTATAGTTGAGAGGAACAAGTTGTCTGCAGTTCTTCTAGACAGGTCAACACAGCCACTCATTTCCCCTGGGAATTGTAGTATGGGGTTTGTATCTGACCCTGAAGCCTGGCTTCACAGCAGCAAGGTCTGCCCCCCTAACCTCATGGAGTCTTGCCACAGTGGTAAGTATTAAAGTCAGATTTCACTACAGCAGTGGCTCTTGTACACACAGCTTCCAGGGAGAGATGGAGTTGAGTATCAAGGGCTGAGTTAACTCCTTATAGACTACATGCATAAAACTTTTGTAAGCAGTAGCTCACTTCATCAGATGTGGTCATGAGTACGTTAACATCTGATGAAGTAAGGTACTGTGCTTAAGCACACCTGATTTAACTTGTCAGTGGTGTAAATTTACCCTGCCTTCAGACTAAACACGGGGAACTGCTTCTCAGAGTTAGCTTCAGCAGCAAAATGAGATGGACCACTCCTAGCAGATGAGCCAAAGGTAAAGCAGCAGTAACTACTGTGATTGGTAAGACTTGCCGAAGATGAACATAGCTCAAGTTTTCCTCTTTTTAGTTACAAAAAAGTCCTAAGATGATACAGGAGGGTAGTCTTTAAAGCAGTGAATGAAGTACAGCTGCTTCCAAAACAGTTCCATTCTTAAAGGCTCAAACCCTGGTCCTCAGAGGGAGTAGATGCCCCTGCCTGTGTTAATTATGCTCTATTCAGCTGCCAGTCCCTTGACTTTTTCAAAAGATAATGCAGTGCATGTTGTTTAAATGTTTTGTCTCCTCCCCCCACTCCAAGTTTTGTAAACTTCAAACCTAGTTTCACCAGCTGTTTGGTTCCAGACACCTTTACAGGAAAATTGCTGGAGATGCTTTAAGAACAAGTGTTAGCACTGTTTCAAGTACAGCAGACTGTCCCGAAGCCAACTTCCCTGCTGTCAGCCACACAGAAGTAGACGGGAGCAGTGCCCTGCAACCAGTTGTTTAGAAGCTACCCCACAGAAAGCAGGAGTCAGGAGCTTAAGTTAAAGTAAAGAGCATCAAAGGAAAGCACGGGATCATTTGCTGGCTATACATTTCACCACAGTTATGATTTAAGGACAAAGTAGCACTTAAATAACATTTCATCAGTCCAAACCAGAAGGCAACTCATAACAGTAGCGGTTTTTTCTTATGCACTTAAATAACAGCGCCTCTTTCAGCCATTTGGCACAGGACAAGGATAAAACCTTTTCCAGATCCTACTTGGAATGAGAGAGGCAGGAAAAGGCCAAGTCAAAAAGTTTCTTTTTATTGCATCATCTTACCCCAGCCTGACTTCAAGAAACAGTCAAGCATACAAGTAGCCTGCTCTTGGTTTATACAGGTACTCAAAGGGAAAGGGATAGAGATGTAGATAGTGTAAATAGTGGGGCTGGGCAAGCGATTACTTTTGCCACCAAATCTCCATAGGTTGTACTGAACAAGGTCAATAGAGCTAGTCTAACTGCAGGAATTGAGCCAACTTGTTCAATTTTGGAGTCATATTAGACAAGGGGATGAAACAGAAGTACAGTATGGCCCAAAAGGAATTATAGATTGATTTCTGCACTGCAGGAAGAAAAAAAATAGCTGGAGGTATCGACTTTTTTGGTAGGTAAATACCTACCTTACCTGGCTCTCATCACGAACTTAATTGCATTTATTCTCACAAACACATGCGACTTACAGAATTACTACCATCCCTGTTTTGCAGTTGGGGAATGGAAGGGGTGCATCTTCCCCAAACTGTTAGCCTGCATTATAATTGGAGCACAGTCCCTACCTTGACTTCAATCCACATCCAAACCTCTAGGTCCAGTTAAAGTGGCCTCTAGGGTCATACAGGGAATCTGTGGCAGATCAGGGAACTGAATCCAGATCTCTCCAGTCCTGGGCTAGTGCCATAGCATGAAACATCCTCTCTCTCCATTAAGCCAACTAATTTTGCCTGTACTAGTAATTTAAAGAATCGAAAAGCCCCCTAAGAACTACTACTATGGGCAACTGTTGGTGTCATTCCATGAAACCCTGCCAACCTAAATCCTGTCTTATTCTAGTCAAGTTCACATCCCAGAAGAGAAACTTGTCATTAGCAGGACCATAAAATATTAACCTCATTAAACCACTTTTCCAGAATGCACTGTTTGTCTGCAAAGTTAAATCAGTGAAAGCTGCAAAAGCAACAGCAATCCTAGGGCAAGGATTGGCTGTTCTTGACAATAAAAGATGCCTATTTTTATCATCCTTCTCTTCCTTTCCTCATGGAGGAATTTCCAGGAGTTGTCATACCAGAAATAGCTTAAGAATACACAGTGAACAGCAACTCTGTAATCTTTTAGTAGAACAGAAGTGCCGTCAGTTGTGTACCATTACTGCATTTTACCCCCTACAGTGTGTAAAAAGGAATTCAGCCACCTTCTATTCAACCCAATTTCAACACTTCAATCCCACAATAGAGATATTAGGTGGTTTTTATGCTTTAGAGAATAAATCCCTCATCTACGGGAAAATCTAGACATACTAATAGCTTTATACCTCAACTTTAGTTAGGAGTGTCATGGGTTTTACTTGTATCCGTCATGCTCCCTCCTAACAAGCACTCAGTAGTAAAACCACTCATTAAAGACATCAAGAAATGGATGTGCTTTTTTTTTTTTTCCCCAATGGGGTGGGGATGGCAACTGGAGTTCAGCACCGTTCTGTACTTGTCTCCTACATGTCAATAATTTCAGCCAGGGTGTGTGTTTGGACATCTTTTAATATTCCTGGTCTCATGAACCATTATAAACAGGCTATTCAGCAGAATAAATATCTGAAGGTCCTCTACCTGTCTCAGGAAACTCTTCTATGCAAGGCTGAGTTTATGCTGCTATTATATTGCATCGTTTTAGCAAAAGCTCTAATTAAACTACTACTAGTGCACAGATAACACAGACATTTAAAACATGGACAGATCTAAGCCACTTTGCTTAACTTTTAATTAAAATAGGAGAAAGATCCTTCCATGCTGCACACCAAACTAGGTGAACAAGTCCCTTCGCAGCAGGTAATCTTATTTCGACACTGTCCATGCTTTCATACAGAGAACCAGAAACCCCTTTTCAAGCATCAAGTTCACTGCCTACCACTGTGACATTACACAGAAAGGAACGGAGAGATGCCTCAGTGCTCCTGAAGTAATCCATCTCTTCAAAAGGAAGTAAAAAAGGACAAAATAATATATAGTGTAGACAAGACGATACCCTCACATTCATAAAAAGAAGGCTCAATTAAACCCAAATTCAGTGCCATTCAGAAACTGAGAGCTGAGAATGGTTTATTCCTTTATTTTTAGAGGAAGCCAGAAGCAGCTTAAGCTTGGAAATAGATCAGACATTTACATGAATGAGGCAATCCAGTTATATACCAAGTTATTGTCCTCTGGAGGGGCAAAGAGGTGAGACCACGGAGCTAGTTGAGATGTCTGACAAAAGCTTTTCTTCCCGTCTAAACATCGGTTTACTTCAACCAGAATTTTGAAAGGGTTGTGTCCACTAAGTTACTAGCCTTGAAAGTTACTTTTAAAATGGACTGTACTACTGACATTTAACACACCAAAAAAACCCCTCATTTTTCACTAAAAGTTACTTCCAAGTCAAGTTGGATTTACACTAACACTATCTAGAAAGCTTGCAGACACCGAGTCTATGCCACAGCACTTGGGTACCTTCAGATCCTTTCACGGGTGCTGCCGTGCACCTAACAGTGCTAACGTTGCATAAAGATGATTCACAAGATAAACCAAGATCTCAGATAGGAATCCATAGTATTTAAAGCATGCTGGCCTGTTGTGATCTACGAGTTCTTTGTAATAAAGGAATTGCATTATTCTTTTCTGTACTTAAAGAACTAGTGAAAACTTAGAGCTGGCATTTTCTGAGAGGTACCCTTGACACCAAGGCTGGGAACCACTACTCTAGGCAGCAAATGTATATTGTTCAGACTACTCATTGCAGCAGTTAGACCTCACTTCCCAACGTGCGACTAAAAGTTTCTATTTCCTCTTTGTCCAGCAAGGAATTAAGAGAATTACCTCTCCTAAATACAACCAAGCTTTTAAACAAGGGCAGTGCCATCAAAATCAGCAGCAGCAGCAGCAGCAAGCCTCAACATCCTCCTTTCCCACATGAAGTCTAGAAAATTTACCCTCAAACCTCAAAACTGCTGAAAACAAGCTGCACAATGTATCCAAGCAATAAAAAGGTAGCAATCACAGGTTATAACCTCTGCTTTTGGCCAGACAGCATGAAGGGTTCCCATTTCTTCTCTCTGTGCAAGATGGAAAATGAGTGAAGTTCTTCAGGTTTATTCCACCTTTCATTCCTTGTACAGCAAATACCACCATCTTAGCTTTCGTGCTGAATCCTGTCTGTTCTAACTGCTTCTAAAATTTGAGATCAAGTCCGTATCGGCAACTCCATCATGAAACATCTCCAAATACTAAGCTTTAAAAAGCTTAAGCTCAAAGTGTGTTATTCCTGAAATCTAGATTCTCCTGTAGATAAATCAGCAAGGCACAAGATCAAATGAGTGCTATATTAAAAAAATAAAAAATAAACAACTCTATATGGAGTGATGCTTATTTAATAGGAAGAGACTGTTAGTGTACAAACAAGGCTGCCTTCAAGAAGCTACTGAAATGTGCATTAAACAGCATTCTGTATAGCATGAGTGCTTAACTTTCTAATCGTGTAACTTAAAAAATAAACCTGAGTTATCTAACATTTAGTCAATAAAACCTTGGACTATTCTACAGCCTCAAAATGCCTCCCTGTTAAGAACAAGTTTCACAAAGCTAATTTGATAAAAAGCGAATGAAGTGTGCAGTAAAAGCTGAAGGGTGTTTTTCTTCAAAATAGTTTTAATTCTTGCATCCAAGGAAAACAAAAAACAAAAAAAAAAGCCCCACGTCTAGTTTTATATGCATTTAATAGTTTACCAATTGGTACAATAAGATTTTTTTAATATGCAGAAAACATGAATAAATTTTGTTTTACACAGTCTGAGAGCAACAAATCTTACTGTAAAACACAGCAGTATTATATACATTCCTTTACTGATTTTTTTTACTTTTATTTTATTTGTGTCAATATCTTCAGTTAACTCCTACAGTCTGGGAACTGTTTTCTCCAATTGCAACCTCTACATCGTTCTTATGAAAAAAGAAAAAGTATCGACGTTTGCCTTCATGTCAATGTCAGGATCAACTTCTAAACGTGAAGATTTCACTAACAGATCTTCAGAATGAACTCAGGGAAGCCTGAAGAATAGGTAGGACAAGAAAGCAGCTACTTACATGACACAGTGGAAAGATAAAAAAGGCCAGTTAAATCCAGTTGTGACTTGTAAATCCAGCTCACCCTTCCCCACCCCCCCACCCCCGAGTGTTTTTCCCCCCCTTCCTTTTTATACATGTATAATTTCTTTACTAATAGAGTTTCTTGGTATTAACTTATTTTAAGCTACCCTGAACTTTATGTACAGCTGGACAGAGAAGAGTCATTCTAAGTGCGTTTTTCCTTCATTCTATTCAGCAAGTTTTGTTCTCAAATTGTTAAAAGGATTATCAAGCCACCACTGTCAACAAAAAGAAGGTATATATTTTTTCTTTTAAATAGCTTTCATGGGAGACAAAAGCTACTTAAGAGTGATATTACCAGGCAGTTCACATAAAAACAGAAGGAGGCAAACAGGAGAAGCAGGGTACTGACAGTATAAGTAGACTGGGCTTGGTGAGTCTATAGCCAAAGCTTTCAAAATACTACAGTGCTCCACAGCCCTTGGACAACTTGCTAGCAACTAGTTTTTGTTTTTTTGTGTTTTTTTTTTCTTTTTAGTTAGTGCCCCGGGCACATCATTGGTCACACCACACACAAAAGCAGGACGGCTTTTTACTCTTCTAAAGTGCAAGATGCTATAAAAACCATCGGCTTTCAGATTATGTCTAAACCACAATAAATTTTGCACTTTCAAGAATGCATCTAGGACTTCCTGGGCACGTTAAATTAGTGTGGCACTGGAATGTCTGTCTGTCTTCATTTTAAAACAAACAAAAAACATCTTTTTTGCTGTTGTCTATTTGGTAATGCAGTTCTCTATACGTATTATTTTCAGCAATGCCAATTTTAGTAAGGAAAAGTGACAAAGCAGCAGTGAACCTCTAAAATCCTCCAATAAATTCCTTTCACAATCCAAACCAGTAACCTCATTATTGTACTTATCACAGGAAAGGCACAGGATTAGACAGCTGACAGAAACATTGCAGACAGTGAAAAAAGATCAACACAGTGTAATATCAAGAGGCAACAAAGCAAGAAACCCTCATAAATCCAACTTCTGTGTTGTTTCTTTTGACTTTTTTCTTCTTTGTCTAAACAGGGCTTTAATTTTTGATCCATTTTAGGACCATCCCTGAGATTATTCACTGCTTATTAAAAGGAGAAGGTTGCAAATCAAGCTGTTTAAAGTCTAAATATTCAGCAAGATGTTTCACCTCTCAAAAACAAAATGCTGCTCACAAGATTTTAGTTAAGTCTTTGTCCTTGTAAACTGTTACATGCGACAGGGAAAGAAATGCCGTGGACAAATTTCCACATAACAGGTACCTTTAATTTCTCATTCATGTTTATGGATTATGTACACAATTGTGGTTTACTTCACCATTAAATAAAGTTGCTACATCCTATCAGGAATTAAAATGCTGTACTACTATACACTTGCAGATGTATACAGGAATTTTAAAATGCACCACTTCTGTGTATTTGGAATTCTCAAAATAGGACAAATAGCAGCAAACCATTCCAGTCAAAAGCTGCTAATGCAAAAAAAAAAAAAAAAAAAAAAAAAAAAGACGGCTTCAAATTTGTGCATGTTCAACTGTGGAAGTATTATTCAAAACAATATAAACCACTGGATTTAAGGAATTAACCTGGAACTTAACCTGGCTCCCAAAATACATTAGCACTCAAGTTTTCTCCCCCTCCTCCAGAGGCATGTCAATGCAAGGAACCAGTACAGGAATCCAACTCCTTCTGCTGGAGGCACCGACCCTTCTGCGTGACTGTAGGAAAGCAACAACTCTTAACCCTCACCGTTTCTTAGTGTGTACACCCTCCAACCCAATGCTTGCCAATTTATTACATCTTTAAAAAGGGACAGTTTTAAAAGCCAAGGATTAAACAAAATGAATAAAACAAAGCACAGAATCAATTCACCTGTTAAAATGTCAGACTGGTACTTCATTACACTGTAAATTTTAAAGGGGATTTTTAAAAGACCTGGTTAGTTAGATAAGTAATGTAATTCTTAATTATCTACAATGGAATTTCTCGCAAAAAAGCTGATTAAAAATATTCACTTAATATTTTTCATTCACATCAGATCAAAATATGTAACATTAGGGATATGCAAGTTAAAACATTTTCTACACCAAATGAATACACTAATTTACCAAATCAGACCATTTCTGTTGGTTTGTTTTAATATTTACTTATTAGTATCATTCTCACACTTGGGCAATTTATTTTAAGGCTAAAAGTTTTAGGAAGCTTGTATCAAAATCTGTAATGGAGTCTACCACTTCATCATCTGATCCATTTTCTAAAGTATTTTTAGTGCTTTCTTTAAAGAATTTGAATACTGTACCCTTAGCTCTCTCAATATACATTCCACCATAAATTTTGATGCAAGCCATGTTGAACTTTGTCATGCTACAGAAGGGTTTCTTGAGCACTGAGGAACCCCTGTATTCCCCAACCTCCCGCACAGGAACAATAATACAAAGGAAACTTTGATATCATTGTATAATGGGCATTGCACATCCCTAAAAAAAAACCACATGAAAAAACAAACAGTAAGTTGTACCACAATATAGTCAACGGGGAGATTAAGCTCTACTTGGAAATTAGATCACTAAATTCTAGTAGTACGGACAGCTCCTCCTGGAAGTTTGTCTAGCGAGGAAAATACTTTAAGCTTAGTTTTACAGTACAGCTTAACTACTGAATGACCAAATAAAAATAAATATATTTATCACATCAGCTGCTACCGAGATCTGTCGTCTCTTTTCAGGTTTACAAGTTAGTTCTATAAATATACCAACCTTTGCGTGATAGGAGGCCAAAACAAATGATGTGTTCTATTGATTTGGCAACTGTGTCATGACAAAAATTCCAAAGTTTAATTAATTCCCATTAATTACATATAAGGTTCAGAAGATTCTGAATTGCAGCCTTATTATCTAGTATCCTTAGAGAAGATTTATTAAGCACACTTAAGTGATGTTACATAGATACACATTTCTGAAAGAGCCCTACAAAACTTTTCCCAAATGAGGTCACCAATTCAGGCACCAACAGACAGCAGAAAGAAAAACAGGTATAATTATCCGACATAGAACGACACTGTCAACTATTCAGTTAAGTGCCCTATTCCAATTATCCAACTTCTGCCTTCTCAGGTCTGATGTGACCAATGCCAGCCCATGTTCTTAAACCTATGGTACTTCTAGACAACGTATGTAAATTTACAGTATACAATTTGGATTCACCATGCATGAATACTTTGTGTGTAACATTTAATAAGCTCAATCTACATCCAGAATAATTTACATGAAAGGACAATATTTATTTAAACAGAGCTCAATGGGTAACCATGGTATCTGAGTGCATCCAGAGGAAAAGGGGGTCAAATGTGAATTCAAATCAACGGCACTCCCACACTTTTACTGTTTGATCTACACTTCCAGTAACCACATATGGTGCCGTCTTGTGGAAATCTGTGAGAAAGAAAAGTGTATGTTAAAAGAAAAAAAGTGACTGCAGCAATTCACAGTACCACCCTTCCCAAGAGACCCATTCCCCAAAAGGACAATGCACTACTTAAAAAAGAAAAATCAAAACGAGACTAAGTTTTTAAAGGTCCTTGTGGCAGAGGCCATCTTGGTTTTGCCTTCAACTCCTTGATGAAAACCTCATTTTGTCACAACTACAACATGAAAAATGAGAGCCCAAAGTGCATACACTGAGAGGAGTGATAAAATTAGTAATGAACAAGTTCATCTGAAAGCTACCAAGCCTGGGGATGTGGTTGAAGGCAGCGTTATCAGTTCTTGCAAGAGAACTTTACAAAAAGAAGTGCACATCTCTCTCGGCTTTCTTCTGGGACTTAGACTACGGAGACCTGTGCTCAGAGTCTTTTCAGCCACAAAGGACCTCAACTGAGATGAACAGCAACTTGGAAAACATTTGTTCAGATGAAGAGATACCACTGTTCTATTTCCTTCAAGGAAAAAAACTCTCGCCTTTTTTATAAAGGAAATGCTTGGATCCAATCGCACTTGTTGAGCAAGGTAGCATTTTCCTGTCTTGGGTTTTTTAAATGGCAAGTACAATCATATATACAGTTATACAAGACAAGTATTAATATCAATGGATATAAGCTCTGCTCCCATATCCTTTGCTTGTTTTTCCGTTGGAAACAAACTAAAACACTTACATTTCATATATTAGCAATTAAGATGTTCAAGAACTCTGAAACAAGCCCATAATGACCACATCTATACATGTGCTTTACTGCAAAGCAGGGTAATTAGCTGCAAAGTGTCACCATGCAACAGTATTAGGCCGCAGTAAACTAATTTACGCCTGCATAAGATAGTACTGTCCCCGACAGTAATTTACTGCAGTTAAAACGTGCAGATATTGACTGCAGGCATAAATTATTCTCATTCAGCCCAGCCAGCCAGGGGCTGGACTCCTGCCTAGCCACACAGTGCTGCACTTTCACCAACCTCATGCCCCAGCCAGCCCTTCCACCACCTGACACTGCCACCCAGAGCCTGGGGCTGACCCCCCATACCCCCTGCCAGCCCAGGCCTGCTCTGCCTGCACTCAAATTCCTGCTTTCCTACAAGCACATGTAGACACTGTGTGCACCTGGTAGTTTACTCTGGCTCAAACTGCTCTGGAGTTTATTGCTTCACATTAATTGCATGTGTAGATGTGCCCACCCTTATGTATTGCTGGTGTAGGTAGCTTATGAGCCAGGCATGAATAGATCTTTCACAGGCATAAAAGCAAGACTGCTTTTCAGGAAACCTAAAAGCACTAAACACTAATTGATTTTGAATCACATCAACCAGGGGATAACCAATATTGGGAGATTTAGCTGAGAGGGATCAGAGGACTTCGCTGAAACTTTTTGGCAAACTCCAAAAGTCTTTTAGCAAAAGCTAAATATTGAATATTTTGGGTCTGTCGAATTGGCAGCCCTGGGGCTGAATGCAGCCCAAGAGGCATTAGGCGTGTGTCCCCAAAACACTTACCTGGCCACTGCTCTATCTGCTACTACAGCTGGGGTCTGCAGGCTCACCCTCCCTTCTCTGCCTTCCACTTCCTGTTCCCACACCATGGGGGCAGGGGGCAGTGTGGTGTAGTATGGCTGGGAAGCCAAGGGTGAGGCTAGCATGCCCACAAGCCAGGGGACCCACGAGCTCACAGGGCGAGGTGTACGGCTTAGCCTTAAATATTTTAGAGCTGTCCAATTTCTAACAGTCTTGAGGGTTAGATAACCCTTGACTTTGTTACCTCCCTTTTGACTTTACTCCTAAATTCTTCATCTTGAACACAAGCGTGACAAGTGGCAAAAACAAGAGCTCTCCATAACATTCCAACCTCAGTTTAAAAGGAACGTAGTACCAACTCACACCTCTCACACTAAATATCTGGTCTGCACGCTTCAACTTGGAATCAATAAAGTTGGTTTTTGATCGACTCCTTGCGTATCAACAACTGGTATGATTCAAGGTGGGTAAAAATCAATTATTGGATTAAAACATTGGATTTTTTTATTTAAATTAGGGTTTTTTTATTTTTTAAAGGTACTTTAAAAAATAAACATATATAAAGTAGTTTTAATTCAAGATATGTTCAAGTTCAAAGATATCATTATGGAATAGGGATGATAACTTCTAATTATATACTATTTGAGACAATATATTCATGTAACCTTTTTCTCAGGAAAAAATATATAAATAGGTCACAACAGGCCATGAACTATATTTGGGACCCAATCTTATGGGGTTCCCAGAGGCTCCTCTATAGATTAGTAAAGATTGAAGAAAACTACTCTACCCAATGGGACTCCGTGCTCAGTCTAAAAGATCCCATGAAGCATCTGTAATGCTTAGTTTCAGTTCTCAAACTGTGGACTTCTGTCTCCAAAAATAACATCCTTATTAGCAGCAGTATATGAAGATGAGAGAACAGACCTGATAACCTACCCATCAGCCCTATTGTCTCTCTCCAAGTTACCTGTACACAGAGTCAAGCCCTTACCTCTCTCTAAAAGTTTCAAGAAGTTAAATGAATAGAGGATTGTTGGGGGGGAGTAGATCTGGGCAAGGAGGAGGAGTCTGGAGACAAATGCAAGGAGGGAGGGGCAGTAGAAACAAAAGAACAACATTTTGAGCAGAGCATTCCAGAAGTCTTGAGGGAGAAGTTTCTGAGTATAGCCTCTCCACTGATTTGAGATCTAGTAAGGGAATGCTATGGTAGAAGGGAAAACCTATCATGGCAGCAGGCTTGCCAGGCCACAAAAAAGAACCCGTTTGGGGATTTTTTAATGAAGTTCCTCTACCCATGGATAAGACAGGCACGAGTGCAAAATGCAAACAGTGCAACAAAGAAATGCAAGGCCTGGTTGCCCAAATGAAACTTCACCATGAGATATGCTCCTTCTCAGGAGGAAGCTGCTTTGAAGATCATCCCTCCAGAATGCCAACTATAATAAATTTCAGAGCTAAGGGTGAACCATTCAAGAAATATATGTTTGCCAATGAGGTTTTAAAG